AAAAAAAAAAAGGAATCTACAAAATCACGAAGATATATTGTGAAGCTCCCCTTCAAATTGTGTGCCAGAGGCAGAAAATGAACACAAACAAGGAAGCTTCCTATCTTAAGAGGCTATCCTGGGCCAATAATTCATTTTCATTTGCCAAGACACATTCTCTAGCATTTCTATTTATATCTGCAGTGGCTATTCACACTAGATTTTCTATGATGGAGCCAATTTTGCAATATATTTTCCTTAGTAATGGATCAAGTACATAATGTTATGAGTTTAAAAGCATATTATACAAGTAAAAATCTAAGTCAGAAACATGTTTGCTAGAAAACTATGCCTTGATTTTTCATTCTCAAATTAGGATCACTATATCACCATGATAGTCCAATCCTTATCAAGTTGGGACAGTGACTACCACCCCCAAATGAGGAAAATATGTAGAAGGTGGTAAAGAATAAGGAAGGGAAAGGGTTCTACTGACATTCCTTTGTTCCGGAGATTCCTTGGCAGAAGCAGGTCCTAGATGAACAGGTTCCTAGGTCTTGGTGTTAGACAGAAGGAGTCATTGGCCTCATCTGCCGGGGCACAGAACGGCAGGGGTCTAGGGCCAGCCATCTGGAGAGAGGGCACGTCTTCTTTTCCCAGACAGGCTGAGAAGATGAGGAGTAACCCACCAAGGGCCAGGAAGACACCAGCAGCCCAGCCCAGGTAGAGGGCATCTCCAAACTCCCAGCGAGGCACAATCTCAGGGATGCTGTTATCCCAGAAGTCTTGGATCGTGGCGTAGGCTACCCAGGAGACTGGAAAGAGGGTAGTGGCTGAAGCAGATGTTTCCAAAGTCCCTCCCAGGAGGCAGAGCCGCCTCTTAAATACCCATCTGATCCTGTGAAACTGGAAGCATTCGGACCCACAGCCAGAGAGCAGGAGCCCCAGTAGCCCCAGCCCGTGGGAGGCTACCATGAGAATTCGGGATACCTGGAGCTCCTGGGGCAGAGACAAGAAGGACTCAAAGGCCTTGCACACGGCAACTTCCTCCTGATTCACGCAGACCTCCCAAAGCCCCATGATCCAGGTCTCCATTTCGTTCAGTTCCAGATTGAGAGTCTTCCACTGGGGCAGGATGGTGGTGACACATGAGCAGACCCAGCCGAAGAGGGAGAGGAGCAGTCCCCCAAGCTGGGCTTTCCCGTGGAAACTCCAGGCCATGGTTGCTCCCACCACGGAGCTAGAAAGTGAGGACAGGTGGCTGGGTGACCGGTGAGCAGGCAGCACTTTGGGGGAGACCCAGTGGAAGGTCTTTCACATTCGGAGAGGGCTCTTGTTTCAGTTTTTAGGCAGCAGCTGAGGCAGGTGCCAGGAGCTTGGCAACACTGGGTTTAGGGGTGTGTCCAAGATGGGATGTGGGCGTGGGTTCTGGGGGAGGGTCCCATGAGAGGCAAAGAAAAGCTAGAGAGTAAGCCATCAGTATCGATTTGATGAGTAAATTCATAAACCTGAAGTTAAAATCACTCCCCAGTTCCGAGAGGATGAGAATGGTGTTTTGGGAATATACACTGATAAGATCTTTCTGGAGGGCAACATGACTTCACATTCCATACTTTTTTTTTTTGAGAGCGAGAGAGAGCACAAGTGAGAGAAGGGGCAGAGTGAAAGAGACAGAAAGAGAGATGGAGAGAGAGAGACACACACACAGAGAGACAGAGAGAGAAGCAAGGCTCACTCAAAGCAGGGCTGGAGCTCACCCGAACTCATGAACCATGAGACTGTGAACCATGAGATCATGACCTGAGGGGAAGTCAGTCAGATGCTTAAAGAATGAGCCACCCGGGCTCCCCGAATTTCATACTTTTAAATACACACATACTTTGACGCAGCACCTTACCTCCAGGAACTTACCCCAATTTATTGCGAATATATACAAAGATTTATGAAAATGTCCATTGAAATATTATTAATGATTGCACACTTTGGTTAGTACTAGGTAGCCATTTGAAAGTGATGTAGAAGAAACTTCAATGACACGAAAAATATTTTTGATTCGTTAAGTGAGACCAGCAAGTGACCAGTTTTTATTTCCCTATTTGTGCTTGTCTATGTACTTTATACATTTGATAAGTTTACCATTTAATATTTTTGTAAGCAGAAAAAAAATAGCAAATGCCCCATTCAATGAACCTAGCCAGACCCAGAATATACCAGGAGGGAAGCGCTCTCTCCCCATTCTCCTACTGCTGAAGGACAGCAGCTATAATGAGTGGTGGTCATACCAGCTTCCATACTCCTATTTGCTGCTGCAAAGAGGCAGGTATGGACAGGAAAGGAGATAATTTGCATTTACTGAGAATGGCTACACGCCAGACTTCTGACTAGATACTTTATCCTTATTTAATTTTCACACTGCCACTGCGAGATACATGGTGGGTAACTTGCCAAGGTCCCCCAGCTGGTAAACGACAGGTCCAGCTCCTGAGCCAGGGGACTCAGACTGTGACACTCCATGTTTCTGTCTCCAGGCTACAACAGTGATTCCTCCCGCAATGTGCACGCACACTGGTGACACAACATGTGGGGTAGGGGGTTAATCTTTACGGCAACACACAGAAGAAAATTGGGACTTTTTTTAAAGTGTATTTATTTATTTTGAGAGAGACAGAGTGAGCGGGGGAGGGGCAGACAGAGAGGGAGAGAGAGAGAATCCCAAGCAGGCTCCGTGCTGTCAGTGCAGAGGGACTCGAACCCACGAACCGTGAGATCATGACATGAGCCCCAACCAAGAGACAGACGCTTAACTCACTAAGCCACCTAGATGCCCCAAAATTGGGATTTCTTATAACAAAGACATAAATGTTGACTAATGTATTTCCCTATTCATATTTTGATCTCCTGATTGTCCTGTGGTGCACCAGGAAGCAGGGGTGTTGGGGGGAGGAAGTGAGGATGAGTATCTAAGGAAACACCACCTTGACATTATCCAAATGATGTCTCAATACAGCCTGATCAGATTACCAGTGGTGTGGGGGTGGAGGGAGGTGAAGGCTCTTGAAGGCTCTCTTTTTCTTGCGTGTTTTATTATAGGAAATTTCAAACACATACACAAGTAGAGCAAATGGGTAAAGAAATTTCATGTCCTACCACCCAGCTTCAGAAACGATCCCCACATGCCAATCTTATTTTATCCATACCTGCATCCACCATTCACATCCCTCCCTTCACACTATTTTGAAGCAAATGGGGTGCTTTTATAACAACCACATGTTCTAAGCAACACAATGGCAAGATATTATGGATCCCTGGAAATGCTGCCTGCTTGTGCTATGTTCATCCAGATTGGTGTCTGATGTTTTGACTCTTGAAAACAGGCATGTCACGTGTGTATGAGCTCAGGACGGATTCATTCTCTCAGATACTGCTCCTTATTTCCTTGCCTTTTTTTCAGAGCCCTTTCTTGACCATTTGTGGCCATCTGTGAGTTGGAAGACATGTAAACCATGATAAGTGTGAACCAGGTAGGAGGTCAGGTTGGTGAGGGAAAACAGAACCCATTCATGTTATTGATTGCTTTTTACTTATTCAAATATTCATTCATGCCCACATGCGTGGACTGTGTGTAGCAATCCCACTCCATCCCCTATGTTTTTTCTTCTTCCTCAACCTAACTCTGGGTCTTCCCAGAAAACTTGAGGAACACTGTGCCACTAATCCAGTGGTCTCTCTGCCAGATACAGGTGGAGCCCTGCAGTGGCATTTGTGGGTATGACCCATGGATTAGTTAACTGGAGAAGATCTCAGATGCTCAACCTCAAAGTGGCCCCTCCTTCCATTCTCAGTTCAGATTCCTCCTTACTGTGAAACTTTTCTTGTTCAATTAGAGCCTGGGTGCTCCTCCTCCAACATTTCCTCTGCCCTCTGTACCTTAGCTTCAGGGCCTGTTACTTGCCCATGCCCCTTCTAAGGCCTGTACCGGATTTTGTATTTATTTTATATTCTTTTCCTTAAAGGGCCCTCCCCCTCCCAGCAACTGATAAGATTTAGGCTCCACAAAATCTGGATCAATCTCTCATTTACCTTCAAGATAGCAATGATAATATTTCCTGGGATTCTGGATTCCCAGCCTAGTCCATTGTCTGTCATACAGTAGTTGCTCAATAAATATATAATACAAGTTTTCAGGAAGGTCATCTGCAGGTCCTTCTTTCTCACTGGACCTTTCTAGTAACAGCATTTAGAATTCAAAGTGAGGCTGACAGGTCTACTGAACAGAAGCGGATCTGGTTTTCTAGGGAGAGATGCCTTCCCAGTATGTTAGGCTGTCCTTTGTACTTCCTGTCTCAACCCCAGTTTCCTGTCCTTTGCTCATGTCACAGGAAGCCGCCCTAGCCTCACTGGGATAAGCCGGTTGTCCTACAGACACTTAAAATATAGACACTTAAAATTGACAAGGACCTTAATTAACATCAGCATCTACTTGAGGTCAACCCTCACAAGATACCTTTTAAAAAAATTAAACATGACATTTTAACTAAAGCAGTACATGTTTATTACAGAAAGACAGGAAAATATAGAGAAGAGAATAAATCCCGTAAGTCTGCCACTAATATGGTGTATGTTCTTTACCTCTGTATATGTATCTGTATCTACTTATTTTAAAAAACAATCATAGTGTACATAGTATATTGTGAACATCTTTCAGTATGTAACAGTAAATAATGAAACAATTTTTTAAAAAATTTTCATCAAGTTGATTTATTAACCTCTGATAGAAAGTGTTAACAGGCGCCTAGGTGGCTCTGTCCCTTAAGCGTCTGACTTAAGCTCAGGTCATGATCTCATGGTTCATAAGTTTGAGCCCTGCGTCGGGTTTCATGCTAACAGCACAGAGGCTGCTTGGGAGTCTCTCCCTCCCTCTCCCTCTCTGCCCCTCCCTCTCTCAAAATAAATACACTTTAAAGAAAAAAAAAGTGTTAAGTATCTTGTTCTAGTCCACACAGTACTAATGTTATTTATACTTAGGTAATATAAATAATACAAACAATATAAATACGTAATGTATTATTATAGATGTAACACATATTTGCTACATGACACACTTTATATGTAATATATGAACAAAGATCTATATGATGTAATATATGTACATAGATTGCATTGTAAACTGTGCAACATAAAAAGAGTGCTATTTAGGGATGCCTGGTGGCTCAGTCAGTTAAGCCTCTAACTTCCACTCAGGTCATGATCTCACGTTCATGGGTTCGAGCCCCTCGACGGGCTCTGTGTTCAGAGCCTGGGGGCTGCTTCGGATTCTGTCTCCCTCTCTCTCTGGCCCTCCCCCTGTTCGCACGCTTTCTGTCAAAAATAAATACATAAAAAATATATATACATATATAGTGCAATTTAGTCAGACTTTTAGTTATGAGGTGACGCCACTTCGTTTGCACAACTCCAGAGGGCACTACTCACATAGACTCTGATGGCCGCTGCCCTTGAAAGTGAATATTCAACGAAAAAAGATCAAGATGGGTTCGTCCGGTATTCCAGCTCGATAAGTGTCACAGGTAAGCGTTTTGAAGTTGAGAAAGGTTCATTTAGGACTGATTTTTAAGTAAAAACCCTTCATTTCGTCTAGCGAAAAACAGGCGGGAAGAGACAAGCTGTTTGAAAATAGCTAGGGAGGGAAACGCGTCTCCCCTGGTTTGCCAGCTACGGGACACCGTGGAAGTTCCACGCTAGGACAGTCGCGGTGCCTGCTGGGAGTTGTAGTGCGGCCTCGCCTTCCCCGCGGCGGTCTGAGCCTCGCGAGACTCAGTTTCCCGGCAGGCCGCGCGCCAACGCCGCCGGCGGCGGGACTGGGACTGCCACGCTGGCCACGGGAGAGTGACCCCGTCAGCGTTGGTTCCAGTCGTGGCGATGGCTTCGTTCGTGACGGAGGTTCTGGCACACTCGGGGAGGCTGGAGAAGGAGGATCTGGGCACTCGGATCAGCCGCCTGACCCGGCGGGTGGAGGAGATTAAGGTGAAGGAAGGCCCGGCACCCGGGGACCGACTGAAAAGGAACCCGGCTCTGTTTGTGGAGGGACCGGGAAAGGAATGGGGGCTGAGGGCCGACAGAGTGGGTGTGAGCAGAGTCAGGTGGGGACGCTGAGTGAGAAGAATGCGACGTGGGAAGGCTGGAAGTATTTGGATTGAGGAGAGGGCTCGGAGGCGAGCCCGGACAGGGGCTGGGGACTAGGGAGGGGGGGAGGCTTGAAGGGGAGGAGACGGTGGCTGGGGAATGGGGTTAGGTTGGGGAGGGTTGGGGTGGGGTCGGGGGGTTTGGAGGAAGACTGAGGAGACCAGCAGGAGAGATGGGACTGCAAGCCCCGAGGTGTCTAGGGAGGGAGCTTGTGAGAGAGAAATGCAGGCAGGACTCCCTAGGGCATTTCCTCCACCCATTCCTTTTTGTACGATTTGTTGATGAATAAAATAGCTTTGGGAGAATGGTACCTTTCTCCTCTCTGAAATTTTTGTTGTTCAAATCTGTCAACATGTTTATTAAACTCTGTTCTTCACCCCCAAGTGCTTTGAGGCTGTCCTGAGTGTTACAAAACTTGTAAAGAGCACGTTAGTGGACCCTGCTGTCTTGAGATTGATTGATAGACACACAAAAAGCACGCAGCCATCCACAGTTTTCACTTGGTATTGCTGTCCTTACCTTGCCAGTATTCACCCACATCTCTGTTGGATTCATTTAAAATTATGTGCACCCGCATGAAGTCTGAATTTAAGGGGGCAAGTTTGGCACCTTATCACAAAGGCACAAGAAGTAGGTCTTCCTAACAACCCTTGATGTTATGAAAATAGTTTCCTGAAATCAGTAAGTTTCAGGTTACTGGCATCTCTTCTTTTACAGGGCTGTAGCGTTTTTCACCACTTTTTATATGGTGGAAAGACTATTAAGCTACCTTAGCACGGCACTCAAGGCTCCTACCGTTCTGGATCTAACTCTCCTTTCACCAGGTTTCCTTTACCAACTTGAATCCTCAGCCAACTGACAATTACTTTCTGTGCTCCAAGCAGACCCAGTATTTTTCTTGGTTTCCAATTTTGTTTACGTTGTCATTTCTCCATCGTTGCTTGTAATATTCTACCCATTTTTTATGTTCCATCTCAAATGCAATTTTCTGCATGAAAAATATCCCCATTTTGCTCCAGCAGAAGTGACCTCTTTCTCATTTGTGTTTCTGGAGGACATTAACTTTGTTCCTTAATTACATTTTTGTATTCTGGTTACATAAGTGTATAGTATTTTTCCTATTTAAAAATAAGTTATTTGTAAGCAGGCATAATTTACCCTGGTATCTTCCAAAGCATTCAGTGCAAAGTATTCAGTAATTTGTTTATTGATGAAACTCAAATTAAGTTAGACTTCTAAGATCAGGCCTTAAAGTTTTATAAGCAAGAAGATAGAAATTCATAAATTGAAGTATACAGATTGTGAATTTAATTTGTCTATTTGCTTTTCTGTTGGCTGTATGATTAAAATTGCTGGCTATAGTCTGAGCTAATCTAGTTCAATATGAAAACTGGCTGCCCCTTTGCTTTTTTAACATTTGTACAGCTTTTGGGCACTCGTGGAATTGGGTGATTTTTGTCTTCTTGGATCTAATAATGTTATAGGATCCTTAAGGGTGAGAGAAATGTGATTTTCTTTTCTTTCTTTAATTTAATTTTTGTTTAAGTACATCAAATTAGTTAGTCCCAATTGTAACAATGATTTCAAAATTAGATTCATGTATGCCCCTTACCCATTTAGCCCATCCCCAACCCTCCGCAGCGGCAGCTTGCTTCTTCAGTTTGGTCTCCATATTTATGAGTCTCTTCTCTTTTGTTCCTCTCCTGTTTTTATATTATTTTTGTTCCCTTCCCTTGTTCATCTGTTTTGTCTCTTAAAAGTCCTCATGAATTGAGAGGGATCATATGATTTTGTCTTTCTCTCTGACTAATTTGCATAACAATACCTTCCAGTTTCATCTACATAGTTGCAAATGGCAAGATTTCATTCTTTTGATTACCCGAGTAATACTCCATTGTATGTATATACCACATCTTCTTTATCCATTCACATCCATCCCCGATGGACATTTAAGACTCTTTCCATACTTTGGCTGTTGTTGTGGATAGTGCTGCTACCTTATAAACATGGGGGTGCCTGGTGATACATGAAACAGCACACTTGTGTCCGTGGATAAATGCCTAAATGAGTGTAATTACTGGGTCATGAATGAATTCCTGTACACACGATTTTTGAGAACGCCTCCATCCTGTTTTTCCATAGCGCACCGCTTGCATTCCACCAACAAGCACAAAAGTCCTGCTTTCTCCACATCGCCAACATCTGTATTTGCCTGCAAATTTATTCATATTATATTCCCAGCAAAAATTACCAAATGAAAATGCTCTCTTTCAAGTAGCAATGTTTTTAGTTTGCCTTCCCCTATTATTAATGAAGTAATGTGTATTACCGACATATTTTCCCATATATCTAATTGTATACATCTAGATATACTTCTTTGAAGTAAGTAATATTCATATACTTTTGCCATTCTTCACTGAAATGGATAGATTCGTTTTAGGTATTTAGCATCAGACCAAACTTCTTCTTTATAGGTACACTATAACCCTTTATACTCGTAATATTTGTTTTGCAAAAATATCTTCTCCCATTCTGTCGGTTGCCTGTTAGTTTGCTGATTGTTTCCTTGTGGCCTGAAGCATTTATTTTGATGGTCCCAATAGTTCATTTTGCTTTTATTACCTTGCGGAGATGTGTTAGTGAAGTTGCTGCAACCAAGATCAAAGAGTTTTTGCCTGCTTTCTCGCCGAAAAGGATTTTGATGGCTTCTATCTTTACATTTGAAGTCTCCATTCTAAGGTTTATTTTGTGTACCTAGTGTGATGGGTGAGTTCACAAATTTCTTCTGCCTGTCACTGTCCAGTTTTGCTGCTGCGACTTGCTGAAGAGACTATCTTTATTCCACTGGATATTCTTTCCTGCTTTGTCAAAGATTAGTTGCCGTATGTTTGTGGGTCCATTTCTGGGTTCTCTATTCTGTTCTATTGATCTGAGTGTCTGTTCTTGTGCCAGTACCATACTGTCTTGATAATTATAGCTTTGTAGTATAGCTTGAAGTCTGGGATTGTGATGCCTCCTACTTTGGTTTTCTTTTTCAAGATCGTTTTGGCTATTTGGGGTCTTTTCAGTTTCCATACAAATTTTAGGATTATTTGTTCTAGCTCTGTGAAGAGAAATGTGTTTTTCAAAGAAACCCATTGGCTGGGAGGAAAAGTGTGGGTAACTGGCAAGAAGGCTCCAACATGGAGGATTCCTTATGGAAGATGAGCTGTATATTTTTAATAGAGTTCTCGACTCATCTCACTGTAATTCTTCTGTCTTATTTTATAGGGTGAGGTGTGCACCATGATCAGCAAGAAGTATAGTGAATTCCTGCCTAGCATGCAAAGTGCACAGGACCTGGTTACCCAAGTGGATAAGCTATCTGAGGACATTGACTTGCTGAAATCTAGGATAGAGAGTGAGGTAAGAATGGTTTGTTATATTGGTTAGGTTTGTAGGCTGGTAGTTCAGCTTCCTGATTCCTAAGACAATTCAGTTCTGTGTATAAGTTTTCAAGACCTCACTTTTCTTATTGGTAAATGGAAGTGGCATTAAATAATTTTAGGGTAACTGCCAATTTTAAAATAGAAATATTGTCCAAAACTATAATTTAAATGATTTTCATAGTAAAAATTTAAAGCTATAATAATAATGTCTTGCATTCGAATAGCACTTTACAAATTAAAAAAATAATCTCAGAATTTTATTGTCTTCAGAATAAAATAAAAACAGATAAAGCTTAGAACTGGGTCATTTGGCCTTTTCTCTTGTCTCCTCTTAGTTTAAAATGTTTCTGTCTCTCTTTTTTTTAATTAAAAAATTTTTTTTTTTATTTTAGAGAGAGAATGCACGCACGCGTGGGCGGGGGAGAGGGGCAGAAGGAGAGGGAGAAAGAGAATCCCAAGCAGGCTCCACACTCAGCGTGGAGCCCAACATGGGGCTCAGTCCCATGACCCACATAGTGCAATGACCCTCACTCAGGTCACAATTGTGACCTGAGATGAAATCAAGAGTCTGATGGTCATCCGACTGAGCTACCCAGGCTTGATTTGCCAATTACAAGCACTGTGCTTCCTGTCATAAAGCCACTCTCTGGATGCAGGGAGGATCCTTGCCCATCTCGTACTGTATCACTGTGTAGGGCCAGTGCTTGCTGTGTTTCTTCTGGATGGTCTGGTGGGTTCAGAAATGCTTATCACGTTTGCCGGAGTGCTGCCATCACAAAAAGAAGTCAGCCAGTCTGCAAACAAAAATAGCCACTTTATAATTTTAAAAACATTTTTTCACCTATGTTATTTCACCAGAATTTTTTCCCTGTATTTTACTTTTAGGAAACATAGTCATTTGAGGGAAGGAAAGCTGACCCTAGAGGTTTAAACAGGTGTACTCTTCGAGGCCTTCTACATCTATTGCCAAATTCTTGGGCAGGGCTCATTGATACCCCAAATCAAGTTGGTGAAGCATTTTCAGGGTCCTCAAGGAAAGATACCCAAGTCTTTTCTCTATGTGATAATTACAAAAGAAGGAAAATGAGCAGAAGCGGTTTTCAAAAGTTCTGTAGAAAATTTTATTCACAAATGGGGAAACCGCTGGTTACCTGGAAAATCGATCGCCAGTTCATCGACCATGATGATTAGTGGTTTTAATAAACATAAATCTGTTACTTTACAACTCTGTCACAGTTCAAATCATATTTTCAAAGTGTATTTATAATTAGTTGATTGTTTGATCAGCGAGTCAGTGGTGTAGTCTTAGATTGTACTATTAGACATACAGTGTCTGGAACAAGAGGGTCATGGACTGTCTGTACCTTTTGCTGGCCAGATTATGGTTGGTGAAATTTATTCATTTCTGGTTGTTATATTTTGAAAGGTGCCTGGTCTGAATGAGAAGGTCCATGCCTAAACTTTGTATCATTGGAACATTGAAAGAAACTAAGGGCATTTAGCCTTAGTAAGATTCAAATTTATGGCTGGAGATGCGGAATTAGGTTGAACAGGTAGATATTAATAGAGATTTATTTAGCCATTTGGTATATTTATTGAGCCATCTGCTAGGTGTGAAATACTGTGGTAGCTGCTGAACAAGACAATTTTTTATTTCACAATGTGAATCTCATATTTAATGTAGATGACTAAAATAGTATGATACACATTAAGTAGAAATAATTCAGTCAGAGAGGGAAAATACAGCTCAGCTTGGCTTCTTGTAGGAAATAGTATCAGACCAAAACCTGAAGTGCTTGGTAGTTAGACAAAGAGGAAGGAGTGTTTCAGATGGACGTAGGAGATAGCATTGCAGAAGCATAGATGTAATGAGAGATGTTGCTTTTGGAGAGCTGTGGCAATTCCACGTGACTCCTGTCTAGAGAGTGGTGGAAAGGGACACAAGATGAGACTAGAAAGGTAAGCAGGGACCTTGTATATCAGGTTAAGCGGTATGGAAATTATCTTGATGGCCCTGTGGAAGCCATGCCTCCATGGCTTTTAAGCAGAGTAGTGACATTGAATTTGAATTTTAGAAATCCCATTCTGCTGGCAATTTGAAGAAAGGACTTGAGGAAAACGAGACCGAGAAATGAGAAGGCAGTTAAAGCATAAGGAGGCAGTTAAACTAATCAGGGAAGAAAGGACAGTGGCCAGCTCTGAAGTCAGTGGCAGTGAGAATAGAGGAGAGGATGAGGATGAATCCTAGTGATGTTTAACAGGTAGGATCTTTGGGACATTAGGTGGGGAGTGAAAGATGGAGGGGTCAAGGATAGTGAAGAACCAGGTCATTGATGTGCCATTCACTGCAGTAGAGGATCTAGAGAAGGAGTGGGTTTTTGTGGGGAGCCTTTGGGATATCCCAGCGGAGCTGCACAGTTGGAGTGTATTAAAACAAAGGCTAGACTTCGAAAAGAGAGAGACAGACAGACCTTGAAATGCAGTTGCTCAAATGGCTCTTTAATTGCAGTAGTTTAGGCTAGCAGGCTGATCCTATACAGTCAAGAACTTTGAGGGGGTCTCAGATTTTAATTTACACACAAGTTAGCTAGTTAGCCTGCCACGATTTCATGGATGCTGTTAGAAGACATGAGACTCCTTGGATGGCAGATGGATAGTGTATTACTCAGAGCAGTGGGTCGGTTGAGCATTTTGTTCAGAGGTTAAGAGCAAAGAGAGGGCACGGAGGAGGCTTATGTGTTTTCCTGACTCAGACTTGGAAATGGTGCACATCACTTCTGCTACGATTTCAGTAGTGAGATCTTAGACACATGGTCACACTCCACTGAGAGAAGCTAGAACGTATAGTCTCATTGGGTAGCCACGTGCTCCTACTGTGAGAGAATGGGAAAATGGATTTGCATGTCACCCGTCCATATACATGTTTGAAGGTTAGGAAAATATTATGGACTTGAGATAGTAGTCCTTAGAAATTGAAGCCATGGGAATGGATGAGATTGCCCAGAGAGAGTGTATAGAGCACGGTTTCTCAACCTCAGCCCAGTTGATATTTGGAGCTGGATAGTTGTTTGTTGTGGTGGGCTATGCTGTGCATTGTGGAGTATTTAGCAGTATCCTCTGCCAGTAGAATTCCTTCATTTGTTACGACCCAAAACGTCTCCAAATATTGTCAAATGTCCTCGAATGGGAGTGGGGCAAAAAAAATAAAAATAAAAAAAAGATTATTTTTTGAGAACCACTGGTTCAGAGTAGGAAGAGGGCCAGGGAGAAAGGAATATCAATATGTGTGAAGTAGTCAGAGGGCAAATGAAGTGACCCAAAGAAAATGAATGGCCAGAGAACTAGGAGGAAAGTCAGTGGAGAATAATTTCAGGGAATTAAGAGAAAGGAGTTAACTGTACTGATAGATAGTTAAACACTGATGACGTATGCTTTGGATTTAGCCACAAGGAGTTGATTGGTGTTTGGACATATTTTGCAATAGTTTTGATGGAAACCAGATCTCAGCGAGTTACAGAATGAACGATAGGTGAGAAACTAGACTGTGAGTATGGCTCACTGTTGAAAGAAGTTTGGTTTTATGAGAGGGAGGAGACAAATAAGGTAGCTACTGAGAAATATACGTGGTTGCTGAGGTAGAGGAAATTTTTTCTCAAAGAGGGGGGAGATTTCAGCATGTTTAAACCTGAAGGAAGGAGCCTTGCTCTAGTGGGTATTCAATCCGTGTATATTTTATAAATGAAGAATGAATTAGGAAGAGGTAAAGGTACAGAAGAGAGGAAATAATTAACAGTGCAAAGTCCCTGAAAAGGCAGGACAGGATGGGAGGTGGATTCTGATTTAACATAAAGTCCTTCTAATAGAGCTATCAGCTGTGGAATGAGTTGTCACTTGGCAACGGGGATACCGCTCTAGTCGTCCAGGTAGATGAGCTCTCTGATGAAAAATACTGCTTAACTTAAGGATAGATGGTGACCTGAGCGTATTAGGTTGCCGGGAATAGGTATTGCTGCAGAGGGTAGTGGTTTGGACTAAGTGGATGCTTAAGATCTCTTCCTCATACATTCTGTGTTTTTTTTTATTCCGCGCTTAACCAGCATTTAAATTTCAACGTGAATTATGTTCGCCTACGAAAGCTTATGAATTAGCCACAAACGTCTTGTTTCTTAGATACCGTATAGCCTGAAAGTACTTTTCTTTGATGTGGATTAGGTCCGCCGGGATCTTCATGTGTCAACTGCTGAATTTACAGATTTGAAGCAACAGTTGGAAAGAGACTCGGTAGTTCTGAATTTGCTTAAACAGCTGCAAGAGGTCAGTAAAACTCAACTCAAACTTCAGTGTTTCAGGGGCGAGAAAATTATTTGTTTTCAGTTGGTCTCATTTTTAAATGTGTATCCCCTGGTTCTAAGGGTTTTTTTTTCATATTTTAAAAACAAAAGCAGACAGACTTGAAATAATAGGATGTATAAAATGAAATACCTAATAACCATGCTTATCTTTTCAGTTTTCTTCTGCTATTGAAGAATATAACTGCGCATTAACAGAGAAGAAGTATGTTACTGCTGCTCGGTGTCTGGAAGAGGTATTAAACTCTTTCTCCACAGTATAAGCAATTAGTACTCTTCTTGTTTTCAGTAAATTTTGTGTTCTGTGTGTTCCTTATCATTATACAAATAGATTCTAATTGCCCTGAGTCCAGATGGAATGTCTAACGATGATTCCATTTCACTGCCAGGCACAGAAATGCTTGAAGTTACTAAAATCCAGAAAATGCTTTGATTTAAAAATGTTGAAATCTCTCAGCATGGAGCTCACAATACAGAAACAGAACATACTCTATCACCTTGGAGAAGAGTGGCAGAAGCTGATTGTATGGAAGTTCCCGCCATCAAAAGGTGCTGCTGACCTCAGGTGGACTGCTTTGCTTAATCTGCCTGAACCAGTTTGGCCTCTGAATATATTCTAAATATTTTATTTTGGTGGATGAGGAGGTTTCATTTATCATTATTCGAGTCTGCACTGAATTCTCATAGCGAGCAGAATGCTGGTTAGGACTCACTCCTCTGGATTCCTGAGTGTCCTCATTTTACTTCCCTTACATCCTTCTCTCTGTCGCCATTATGAGGAAGGAGCACAGAAGAGGAGGATGATTGGGTGGGTGGGATGCACATGGTGTGGTAGAGGAGGTCCCAGCGGTTTAAAACCACACCGAGGGGCGCCTGGGTGGCGCAGTCGGTGAAGCGTCCGACTTCAGCCAGGTCACGATCTCGCGGTCCGTGGGTTCGGGCCCCGCGTCGGGCTCTGGGCTGATGGCTCGGAGCCTGGAGCCTGTTTCCGATTCTGTGTCTCCCTCTCTCTCTGCCCCTCCCCCGTTCATGCTCTGTCTCTCTCTGTCCCAAAAATAAATAAAAAAAGTTGAAAAAAAAAAAATTTAAAAACCACACCGAGTTTCCACTGCATTGTAGGTACACCCATTCCCAGCAGCCCTACTCCCAACAGTTTACCTTGACTAGAAAGCTTTGAAAGGCTGTTCTACCATTTTCTCTCTTGGTGAGGAAAGAAGACAGGGGGTCAGTGGGACAGGGGTCTGGCTTAATTTTTTTCAGTCCTTGGGGAAAAAATAGTGGCAAAATCATGCTATAGGGGATGCTTTATAAGATGAAGAAATAGGATTACTTGGCCCTGGCTTTGACTTACGTTGTTTGGCTCTCAGTCTCTCTGCTCACTTGTAGGTGTGAGCCTTCTTGGAAGTCTTGTTTACACAAAGTAAAACCTCAGAGAGTAGATGTAAGCGACGTGCCATTACCCCTAGTATGTTTTTCTAGTATTGAATCTTGAAAATTTTAGTTTGTTTCAGGGGAAAGGTCACAGTCTCTCCCATCCCCTGGCCCATGTCCACGTGGGGCCTCCAAATTCACTGTATATGTATGTGTGTACATAGACATACACACAAACATACACATATGTATTTTTTTTTTTTTAAATTTTTTTTTTTTTT